AAGAACAAAGTTGAAGGAGTAACACCATCAGATACCATTATGAAGCCAGGAGTTCAAACAGTGTGGCTTGGTAAAAAGGTAAGTGGGCCAACGGCACAGAACAGAGTTTCTAGAAGCAGATCCAAACATATTGTTACCTGAAAACCTGCTACATGCTGTGGGGACATTATAGTCTTTTCAATAAATGGTTCAAATCAACTGGTTATCCACAGGAGGTAAATAAACACAGACTCACACCATGCACAAAATCAGTTGCTGTTATATCGTAGACCTAAATACAAAAGACAAAATTTCTTGATAATAAAAGAATATTTTCATGAACTCGGTAGTCAAAATTTTCCCAAAAACAGAATACAAAAGGGCACTAACCATAAACAGAAAGACTGATAAATTAGGCTTCATTAAAATGCAGAACTTTCTGTTCATCAAGAAGTACTACTACATTAACAGAATGAAAAAATAAACTATCAATTATAAAAAGAAAAGTGTATAATACATAGACTGCATATATACGAGGTAGTCAAATCTACCAAATCAAAAGAAAGCAGACAACCTCCTCCTTTTTCATGGACAAAAGATCTGAAATGCACCTCACAGGAAAAGGACAATAAGACTGATAGGCATAGGAAAAGGTGTTCAAAATCAATATTCTCAAGGAGATTAAATTAAAACCACAAAGGAACACCAGTACAAATCTACCAAAATGGATAAAATTAAATATAATGCAAAAGCTACTGTCAAGCAATTAGACGTCTCATAAACTGCTGGTGGGATTATCAACTGGGACAACTGCTGGGAGAAACTGCATGACAACACCTACTAAAGCTAAACATAAGCCCTCCACCCAAGTACTTCCACTATGTATATACCCCAGTTAAAATAAATATATGCAGTTCCCAAAAGAAATTACAAGAATGTTCTTAACCAGCATTACTGCAAATGCCAAAAACTGGAAACAGTACAAATGTCCATCAAATATCCATCAATAAAAGGGATTAAGGAATTATGATGTTCTCATATAACGGAGTGCCATACTATACAGTAACAAGAAACAGAAAACTTCTGTTGCATGCAACAGCATGGAAATCTAGACATACAATGAATAAAAGACACAAAAAAGTATAAGAAGTATACATTGTAAGGTGCTATTAATTTTCTTTAAATGGCAACTAATCTATGGTGTCGAAGTCAAAACACTGGTTACTGTTAATGAAGGGATAATGGCTGGGAGGGGGCCTGATAAAGGTTTCCTGGGTTCAAGTGATAATCCATACCTTGATATGGGGGATGTTTAAATGTGTATGTTCACTTTGTAAACTTTGGCTTCCACATTCACTTGTGTATTTTTCTGTACATATGTCATAATCTCACTTAAAAATATAGGGGAAAAAAGCTACCTGGCAAAATCCAGCCAAATAATATGAGATTTAAAATACAGAGCTCAAGCAAAGATCTAAAGAAGAGAATCATTAGTAAACACTGAATCCACTTACTTAGAAAACTATGACTAAATCCTCATCAGAAAACAGAAAGAAGGGATCCCTGGGTGGCGCAGCGGTTTAGCGCCTGCCTTTGGCCCCGGGCGCGATCCCGGAGACCGGGGATCGAATCCCACATCGGGCTCCAGGTGCATGGAGCCTGCTTCTCCCTCTGCCTATGTCTCTGCCTCTCTCTCTCTCTCTCTGTGTGTGACTATCATAAATAAATAAAAATTAAAAAAAAAAAAACAGAAAGAAATGTACTGACTTCAACCATCTAAACTTATATAAAGGAAAAAACAGTTTCTATTATTCTAGCATGCTAACCCAGCTAGACAGACTTTCGCCAAGTTCAGAGGGTGTATCTGGGGCTATCTGACTAGAACTATAAGCTGCCTTGGGGGCAGTCACCTCGAGACAGGAAGCTGTCCACCAGAGCAGCTGCAGACCACTGGTGGGCAATGGAGGGCCTCTACTCTTGTCTCCTTGTACCATGTTTCAGGGTGAGTACCAGCAGGGATTTATTTAATGGTTAATCATTTTTCAGAGAAACTCTAGGAAGGGAACTAGCATAATACAACTTAAAAGAACTTAAAAATGTGGGAGTGGAGAAAAGGGTATGTGCACGTCATTCACAGGAAACAACAGTATATACTGTTGGGAAAAATGCAAATCGCAGGGCCACACTCTAGACCTACTCAATGAATCTCCAGGGATGAGACTTGAGAAATTCTAATGAACAGCCCCTTTTGTTGGCTTGGGCAAGTAACTTAATCAAAACCTTACAAGAAAATAGCTAATGTAGGTATTAATGTCCTTTTAACTTGCTGAGTTCTTTCCAGTAAATTAAGCTGTTCTTAACCCAGATGGGACAGGGAGGAATTCTTTAAGGATGGAACTACGTGCTATTGATCTTTATAGCCCCGGGGACCTAGCCTAGACCAGGTACATAAATTAGACCTTTATACTGTTGAATGTTGGTTTAAGAGTACACACTGAATCCAGTGCTGGAACTGTACTGCCCAATTCTAAGGCAAGTGTTCAGTTCTGATCAACAATGAAAATCTCTGGCTGTGTACTTACTAAGGGTAGATTGATACCTAGTTTTTTTCTACTTCAGCTTTATATTATCCCCAAATCCTGTGCTTTAAATAAAACTCTTAGGCTACTGAGGCTGAAAACATTTTCAAGTGGGAAAATTCGTATTTCACTCTAGTTTCCAAATTTACTGTACCATAATCAAGCATGGCTATTTAAAAATGGATAGAAACCTTGTTTCATTCCACTGCTAACCAATTCTTATAGGTTCTTACCATCATGGACAACTCTCAGGAACATAAAAAGAAGTATGTATATTGAATTAAAACTATTATCCCTTTCCAAAAGAGATTTGAGTGTCGTAAATACAAAGAGTACATACTTAAAAGTTTTAAGAAATTATGACAAAGGGAAAGGAGAATACATACTAATTATAAGGATTAGCATAATTTCTATGATTAAGCATAATTAACTCTGAGCTTCCTAGTAACCAGAGCAAAAAACGACATCTTGATTATACACCCCTTGCTAAAAAAGAGATGGAATACTCATTTATCAAAGGGAAAGTTTTCGCTTGTAGAGAGAGAGTCCCTAACTTTTCAGTTGGTGGAGCTCTGCTATTATCTGCCTTAAATGTGGAGTATTTACAATGTATTTGAAGAAAATGTTCTGGGCTTTAAAAAAAAAAAAAACTTAAAAAAGAAAACTGGTCTGGTCCAACTTGTTCAGGTTACAAAAACAAGACAAAAGGCCACCTAAAATTAACAACTCATCTACAGTTACATGGCTATCAAGCAGCTTCAGGATCTTACCTAATCTGAACTTTTATTAACTTCTTTTTAATACAAAGAATAGGCCTGGGTCAGCTATGAGGGAAGGGGGGGAAAAAAGCAGTAAACTAAGGAAGCAATCTAATAGTTCAGTTGTTATTCATTTTTTTCCTCCTCTAAATGAAGCTTTATACATGTAGGGGATGATCCAGCAGGAAATTTCCAGCCTTCTGAACTACCCAAGGACACATGAGAATTTTAAGTTCACAGATGTTAGCTCTGCAGCAGACTGACCTATTCAGCTATAAAGTCAGCCAAGCTGCAGAAACCAAATTTTCTCCAGCATGTAAGTCCAAATAACAGTGATCTGAAAAGTAAGAGGGTATGGCACTGGACATGTTCTCACTGCAACAGAGATCTTTATTTCTCAATCAGCAAAATTTTAGAGGAAAACACCACAGAAGCTATCTATGAATATTAATGCACAGAAACCTGTCCTGAGCAGAAAGGTGCAAGCTGTATGTTTACACATACATGCAAACTATAAGTTTACTACCTTACTGAAAAATCCCACTCGAGCTGCCATTTTATCCTCTTCATTTCAAAACTGGACATGGCTTTCAGCACACTTGTTGACCACAAAAATGGAGCGATGCAATTAAGACAAAACTTACAAAAGAAAAAAATTTAGATGTAGGTGCATGTGCATAATTTCAGATTTGAAGCGAAACTACACAGAGACCTACTAACTGCCAAAAAAAAGTCAAATTCAAGATACAATCTCAAAATTCCCATCTCCTTTATAACATTAACTTATAAAGTTAAAAAGAATTATAAAAACCTTTTAATAATGCTGCTTCTTATTTTAAAAAGAGAAAATTTCCTTTTTAAACCCTTTTTCTCATAGTTTGGAGATTTCCAAAGGAATCTACTGGAATTTACAGAATCAGTAACAGGAAAAGTAGTATTGTAAAAAAAAATATCTTTTTTTCTAAGAGTAGTTCTTCTTTTTGATTTAAATGCAACTAGCACATTTTATTCAATAATTTCAGACTATAAAGGAAATCCGAGTTAATAATTTAATTAAAAATATCCAATAAGTTAATTTTAAAGTCATACCAAGAAGTTATTTACATGCCTGCACAATACTTTGCCCACAATGTTCACTGTTAACATAGCTGTCCGATAAGTGAACCTCTTTCTATGCAGATACATAGCTTTACATAATAACATTTCTATAAAGAGCAAACTAATGGTCAAATGGTAAGCACCCCACACCAGCAAACAAAGAAACTTTCGAACACTAATTTTCAAATAGTCATTTTCAAACACTGATTTTCAAACAGTAAACGCTTTGACCACATCAACAAAGAGGAAAAGCTAAGAGAGAAGACCAACCGCACTCAGTGGCCTGGGAGAAAAAAAACACCCACACTCTAAATCGCATGCCCCATCCCAATCCCCCTGTCAGTGGTCAGTATCCCAAGTGACAATCTTTCCAGGAATTTACTAACTTGCTACTGCACATAAGAAACTGATACTTATTCATTCTTCTACAACCCTCTACATGTTTTTGTGCCTTTACCTAATGGTGATAGATATTTAATTGCCAAGCAATCTGTTACATTTTTCTTTACTGATTTATTTCCCTAAAATTAGTTTGCGGCAATTATCATCATAGGAGGCCAAAGGATAACTTAAGATCAAAATTCACCTTCGTCATTGACTTTGCTCTCAAGCCTCCATTCTCCACGGGGCTGAGGTCCAGCTTGCCATCATCCTTGCTTCCTATAGCTTTTAGTCCTTGCAAAAGAGTGTCTCGCAAGTTCTGATAGAGAGGTTTCTCAGCATAGCCCAGTAATTTCACTGTTTCCATGTATTTAGCAATTTCATCTAAAAGAGTAACACAATTGTTCTGTAATTTTTTAATCACAAATACAACAGATTTATCTCTTACTTCTAAGAAAATAACTCACAGTAAAATTAGAATGCAAATGTGTATCCTGTTAAAATATGTTTTTTACATAAATCACTTCTTCAATAGAAAGTACGCTTTTGAAGTCGGGAGCTGTCAGGTAAGTGAAATAAACTTATTTTGAGATAGAATGTAAAAGACATTTTTGTAATTCTAAGGGACAAAAGATGAGACACATATTAAAATTTAAACACGCACGAAATAACTGCTGTAGTTTTAAGTCTACAAAAACAAAACAGGAAAGGACCTCAAACAGATTATAAAGTAAAAGGTACTTAAGTACAAGGACGATCACAGCCGTTTTTTTTTTTTTTTTTTTTTTGCCACAGAAGCCATTAATTCTATAGAAAATAGCTGCATTCTTTGTGTAAATGGGAAATAAAACATACCAAAGGCAAGTTGAAGGGAGAAAGAAGCAAGACCTACTTTTCCCATAAAACAGGAAAATCAGCTTCTGAATGATGAAAGGCTCACTGTACACTGAGGCAGGACCAATCCCCTAAAAAGAAATCTTACTAGTCAAGATAGACACTCCTCAAGGCCAGAAGTCCATCGTTAAGCTAACAACTCCTACATCCCCAGCCTCATCCGTCCACTGGCCCCAGGAAACTGTGCGCCCACTCCTCATACAATGGCTCTTGGATCTCCAACTATCCTCTTGAATCCCAACAAATCCAAATCCAAACTCCTGACCTATCCCTCCACCTGCTCTCCTGCAGTTCCTCCCACCCCAGTTACTGAGAATTCCATCCTTCCAGCTCAAGCCAAAAACTCTTCCCACACCCCACATGCCATAAACCAAGAGATCCTGAGAGCACTACACACACACACACCCTCATTCAAACACTGACTAGCACTTACCATGCGACAGGCACAATTCTAGGTACTTGGAATATGTGAGGAAAAAAGAAATGGAAATATCTCCCTTCATTTTCTTAATCTATAGAGGATCTATGGAAAATCTAAAGCAAACTTCACCTAATAGGGATCCCTGGGTGGCGCAGCGGTTTGGCACCTGCCTTTGGCCCAGGGCGCAATCCTGGAGACCCAGGATCGAATCCCACGTCGGGCTCCTGGTGCATGGAGCCTGCTTCTCCCTCTGCCTATGTCTCTGCTCTCTGCCTCTCTCTCTCTCTCTGTGTGACTACCATAAATAAATAAAAATTAAAAAAAAAAAAACTTCACCTAATAAGGTCACATATGGAAAACCTTCCTTCGGAGGGGGGAAACGTGAAGCATGTCCACATTCACCACTTCTGTTCAGTGTAATAGTCATCTACGCTTTTAGTCAGTACCGTAAAGCAAGAAAAGAAAGAGAAGGCAAAGAGAGTGGAACAGTTTATCCACAAACACAGCACGGTATGCAGAAAACCCTAAGGAATCTATAAAAAAAACTAATGAGACTAATAGGTAAATTTACCAGGTTACAGAATACAAGGTAAATATTTAAAAAATCATTTTCTATGTATCAGCAACAAGCAATTGGAAAATAAATTTTTTAAAAATAGATCACTGGGCAGCTGAGTGGCTCAGTCAGTTAAGCCTCTGACTCTTGGTTCAGCAGGAGTCATGATCTCAGGGTCGTGAGAACGAGCCCCTCAATGGGCTCTGTACTCAGCAGGGAGTCTGCTTCCCCCACCCTCCACCCGTCCTCCTCTTCCTGCTCTCACACACATACACACACACACACACACACACACACACACATGCTCTCTCTCTTTAAAATAAAAAAAATCTTAAAATTTAAAAACAGGTCATTTACAATGGCATCAAAAAAACATCAAATACTTAGCAACAAATACAATGAAGACAGGCAAGACTTTTTACAGACAAAATTATAAAACACAGTGAAAGAAATGAAGTGGAGGATATACTTTCTTAGTAGATTGGAAGACTCACTAGTACAAGGATGTCAGCTGATCTAGAGTCATGGCAATCCCACTCAAAATTCCAGCAAACTGGAAAGGGAGGGGATGTGTGTGGAACTGACAAGGTGGCTCTAAAATGTACACAGATACTCAAAGGGTCAAGAATTGCAGAAGAGCAAAGTCAAGTTAAGGAGCATCAGTGCTGAAGGACTTATACTACCAGATGTCAAGACTCAGTCAGAGTCATTATGACACTGTGGCGCAAGAACAGACAAAAAGAATAACAGAAAGAAGGAGTTCAGAAACAGATCCATAGATCCACACTTGATTTAAGACAAAGGTAGCACCATAGACAAGAAGTGGTTTCTTCAAGAAAAGCTACTCGGTCAACTGTTTATAAATATGGGGGTGGGGAAAAAATCTGGCCCCTCCTTATATAAGGCACAATAATCGATGCTAGGTGGACTAAACATCTATATCTATATCTGGGATCTATAATTGCCAAAAATTGGAAACCATCAACAGCAGAATAGTTAAGTAATAGGATATAAATACAACAGACTACTATTAGAGACGAGAATGAACACATCTCTGTTAAACATGCAACAATGGGGTCCCATGAGGATCAAATGCACAGCATGGGGACATAGTTAATAATCTGGTACTACAGACTGGAGAGTGGCTGAGCGTAGATCTTGAGCATTCTCACCACACACACACACACACACACCACAAAGTTAACTGTGAGGTAATAGGAGTGTTAATTATCTTGATCTTGTTAATCATTCTATGATATAAACATATATCAAATCACCACATTGTACACTTTAAATGTATACGATTGTATTTGTCAATAAAGTTAAAAATAAATAAGTAAAAACATTAAGAAAAAAACCCATGCAACAATGGAAATGCATTTCACAAATACAATACTGAGTAAAAGAAACAGGACTCCAACAGAGCTAGCAGTCAAGATCATGAGGGCAGGGATTTTTATCTATGTTGTTCACACTCTATGATTCCATTTTTTATAGAGCTCAAAAACAAATCTTAGGGGTTGGAAGTCAGGCAAGTTATTCATTAGCCTAGAGGGAAAGGCTCATGATTTGTAGGAGGCACAAGGGGGGGGACTCTGAAAAGCCTATAGCGTTCCATTTCTCATACGGTACTTGGTAAGATTGCAATTTTAAACTGCATAAGGTCAGAGTGGACTACCCTAAAAAGGAGACAAATGAGCAAAGGCTTGAAAAGACATCTAAATATGTGTGAAGTAACCACTTCACTCCTCCCACTGCTATCTCCCTTCCCTGGATCTCTGTGGTGGCCCTCCTAGCCAGCTCCTGCTCATACTTGCCTTCCTCCCTTAGCAGTCTATTCTCAGAACAGGAGCTATGGGAGTTCCCTTAAAAATACATATTGATGTCACTCTTCTACTCCAAACTTTACACTCCTGCTCAAAGTAAAAGCCAAAGCCCTTATAATGGATGGCCTAAAACAACACAGTCCTCTAGTTCACCAGACACATTCATTCCCTCTGCCTCAAACACTGTTCCCCAGACTTGCACAGAGCTCAATCCCTATCTCCAACTGCTCAAATGTCACCCTTCTCAATAAGGCCATCCTGGCCACCCTATTAAAAATTCCAACTCCCTACCTCATCCCCACACTCACTAATTCTATTCCCCACTTTCTTTTTTTCCATAGTACTAACCACAGAATATACTATAAAATCACTCCTGTGTTTACTGTGTGTCTCTACCAACTACAACATGAGCTTCATGAAGACAAAAATTTCTCTTTATTTTGTTTACTGTTGTAACTCTAGTATCTAGAACGGTTCCTGGCATTCAATCAAGCCTCAATAAAAAAAAAAAAAAAAAGTTGAATTTATGAATGAATTTGGTTTCCTTTCCTGAAAGTTGAACAATAACTTAAGGAAGCTCAAATTCCCATTTAGTCCACCTTTGTAAAGGGGACTGTTGTCGTGATGAGAACAGGCCTCTATACAACAATCACACTTGAAAATACCTAAGCTCTTACGTTACGGGATATGCTGTGCACATCATGATTCTTAATCTTTTTCTCCCAGAAAACAAAAACCTTATGAACATTTAAGAAGTCTTTTCCTACCTGGCTTGTTTCTCTCAGGAAAACATTTGTCCATCAAACCAGCAATATTCTCTCTATATCTGTTAAAAATTAAAGAATGAGTCATTGTTTGAAGCTTTATACCATGGAAACTTATTAATATTTAATGACAGTAAATAGCACAATAAGCAGCACTGCATTACATCCTAAACATGCTTACAGGCTTTCTTCTAAAATAAACTGAACAGAGAACCAAGGACTCCTCCTATTTAGCAAGTACTTTCTTATTTCTACATCAGTAGCCATTAAAACTATAGTCTCTTCAAGAAATTCTGACATACACATTTATCTTATCATGATTTTGCCCAAGATAATTTAAGTTTTCCTTTACCTCATTTTGGAATCTCTAACATAGTTAGGATCTTTCAAATTATCCTCCCATGGAAGATGACCACTAAGCCACTGGATCATGCAATAACCAAGTATTTCCAAATCACCACGTCTTGATGGGGCTGTGAATACAAAAGAAGCAGGATAAGGATACTAAAATCACTTTCAGGTATAGTTTCAAATATATACAAACCAATAAAGTAAAACAGCCAATCTTACAGTCTTATTTTTCATCAAAACTTATCATTGCATTTAATAAAAGTACTGAATAAATACTTGGCAATACGAAAGAAGTCATTTACATCCAACTAACAGCTTACTTTAAAATCCAAATTGGCAAACTCTAGAGTTTCAAACTAAGACTATGAGTGTAGGAAATAAACTATAAAGTGGAGACACATTTAATATTGCTCTTGGAAAATCTGAAGACACTAAAATGCTATGAGCTACGGAGAGGCCCAGAGAACTGGGGGTCTCAGCTCCTCTATACTGTACGGGCCCCAGAAAAGCAAAATGCCTGATAAAGAAAGCAGGATGATTTCACAGGTAAGAAAGTCAGTTTGCCTGCCACCAAGTCGTGGCTGCTTAAGAAACTTATAGACTTTTAGGGGGAATAACACCCCATATTCAACTAAGCTAAGGAGAATCAAAAAGAAATCCTGAGGTGAACCAAACCACCTTCCCTGCTCAAACCATGGCGTCTGTGAAGGACAGAAGGGGACCACAGGGAAAGACAAGGTGGCCGATTACAGGGCTGGAAGAGTCTAACCTCTTCCCCGGATCCCTCCCTGGCCTTACCTTGCCTCTGCAATTCTTATTTATCAGCTTGTTTATTTGTACAAGATTAAGAACCAGGGAGGAATCTCACATACCCACACCATTGTGCGCATCAATGCTGGTGAATTCAATTGTGCCATCATGACATCTTTTGGGGTCTTCCTTGTATTCTTTATGAATTCCTTCTGGGCAATACCGGTAAGCAAGGCCGTAATCTACCAAGTACACCTATAAATGTCCAAGCACAAGGTAAAATCAAAGCCAAAATGATTGCACATATAATCCTTTATGGCCCAGAGATAAAATACTATCATTTAAAGGTGGATTCATCTGCAAGGCCACACCACTGTACGCCCCAACAAGTGAGATCCAATATGCTAACAACAGCAAATACTGAATTCTGAAAGACTTTTTTTTGTTTTTAAAGATTTATTTATTTATTTTTAGAGAGAGAGAGCATGTGCGTACACAGGTGGGGAGGGGCAGAGGGAGAGAGTCTCAAGCAGACTCCATGCTGAGTGCACAGTGCAACACAGGGCTTGATCTCAGGACCCTAAGATCATGACCTGAGCCAAAACCAGGAGTCAGAACACTTAATGGACTTTTGCCACCACAGTGCCCCAATTCTGAAAAACGTATTTCAAGAAAAATGTTGAGTGATCATGTCACTAAAGTCCAGACACGATCACCTGACTTTATATACCTTTTAAAATAAGTATGTTATACTTGTAATTAATCCTGTCTGCTAACTTGAGCAAAGATTATAAATCTTGTACTTTTTCTTGCAGGGTCTAAAACAGAATAATTGGGCACAGAGGAAACCACCAATATTTGTTACAACTGCCCCACACCAAATATAAGACTACTGGTGTAGATGATACATTATCTTCTATTTCTCTGCTCCTTCACTTACAAAATATTCTAATTATCAATTCATTTCATAAAAGTATTTCAGATTACAATAATGATCTGAAGAACCTTTAGATGACTTTTATCTATAATATATGAGATATGTTATATAATACATAATTTAAATATTATATAATAAAGTTTCATAATTAAAACTAAATTTTAATACTACAAAGCACATATCAGTGGGCATGTATGTGTGGGTTTAATGAGCATAAAAGCTAGTAAATTTGGCTTTCTTCTAATCCATAGCCACATATCACATCTCTAATTCTGGGTAACTGTCTCACAAATGTATGCATGTGATCACAAGAGGAAACTGAAGTAAAAATATAGGGACAGATCTAACACACACATCTAACACTAGAAAAATAATCCCATCCAAAGCATATGCCCGAAGGATAACAGAGATGCAAAAATATTTTCCTATAAACAAAAGGCAGCATATTTTGGTTAATTGCAAACTGAAATCAATGGTATTTTTATTTATTACATTGTACAAGTCCAGTTCGCCTCAATTAATGGAATCCTTATGCTTAATGGAATCCTCAGCTATGTTGTTTGCTTGCTTGCTTTTAACCTTTTTAAAAACATCTAACACAAGATGTCTGGGAATCCTGCGAGTGTCTTTAAGACTTCCCCATGAGCATTCTACAAGTATAACAACTTTCCTTTGTTGTGCACGGAAAGACCCCTGACAGCCACTGTGACAGAGATGGGGCTGGGGGGACAATGCCAGATGGACAATAAAGGGAAGGTGAAGGGACAAGTGGAAACTAAGCAAGAGGAAGTCAAAGATTGGTTTGAGAAAAAGAATAAAGTGGAGTGTCAACATAAACACACTTCAAATACCTAGACAGTCCCTTCTTACACACCATCAATAAGATGCAAGAACACATATGGAACTGATTTCCTTCAGTGGCCCTACCAGGAGCGCCTACATCAAACCTTACTTTAACCAAAATTGTGGTACAGCTTCAAGAACATTGTATAAACCCTTCTATTCTGACTAAACTGATCCAAATAGAGATATAATAACATTAGCTTTTCTCTTTTCCTTAAAAAGTAAAAATTACAAAGTGAATGTAATAAACTAAAAAAAGAAAAAATGCACATTTGAATTCTAAACACTAAGGGTATACAAATTTAGACAGCTAAGATATTTCTGTAAACCAATTGATTTGAATAATCAACATGTTAAAGACCAAATTTTCCAAGTAATAGAACACTTACATTTGATGGATTTCTTGAACAAAGGAAATAAAATAATGACAAAGCAGACAGGCAAACATAATTCATCGGTGCACTATATAATTTTAAACTTCCACCCCCAAATAGCTATTTGAAATTCATTTTGTATCACAAGCACTTCTTCTGAATATTATTTAGGGCAAAATAGCCAACTTGATAAAGTGCCAACAAATCGCATCAAAAATGTAGAATGTTAACTAGATAAAAGTGTCAAAAAGAAATATTATTATTACCATATCGACTCCAAAAAGTAAAACTTCTGCACAGGTTCAAAAGTTCAAAGCAACCATATTTGTTTTCAAACAACAGCTTTTAACTAGTAGAAATTAAACTTAACAAAGCTACCTGGTCAGGATTCTTGTAGCTCAGAAGCAGATTTGAGGCCTTGATATCTCCGTGTACGTACTCATGCTCGTGAATATATTCCAGAATATCCAGCTATGAAAGCATCATATAGAATAAATTAATGCAGTACCTAACACCAGCCAGCAGAGGACCGAGCTTCAACGCAACTCGCCTTCGCTGGATTAAAACAAGAGGAATGTAGCTCACATACAATTCTCAAGCTTAGCTGCAAGACAGTTTTCCGAGAAAACCTTCTGGCATTTGCTTCATATATTTTCTGAAGGTCACTCCCAAAGCGATCCATTATCATAAACCTGTAACTAAAGACAAACAAGAAAAGTCAATGAAACAAAACAGAACTCGGGTAACCTACTTTGCAGGGACTACTCTCACAGTCATTTTTTTCAAGTCCATGTTTAGTAAGAAAGCAGAAGGAAAAGGGAAGAAAGAAGAAAGGAGGAAAGAAAGACAAACATTTGAAACCATTTTTTCCAAGTAGAAATCTCAGAGTTGGGAATACTTCCCTGACCTGCCTGAGGGCCTTCTCCTGGTGGCAGCCAGGTAGTTTCCTGAGACACCAGTCAATATAAGGTAATTAGCCCACAGACTGACTCCAGCTGATTCATTCACAGGAAAGATAAGACAATATGAGTAAGACCAGTATCACAGATTTTCTTCTGCCGAAGTCAATTCATGTTTCTGGATATTAGCTTGTTGTCTGTGACCGTTTTTCTCTATTTTGGGGGCACATTTTAGCAGTATTAACATTTTATTAAAATCAAGATACCAAAGATGCTAAAATAATAGCTAAATTCAATGAAATTGTTTAAATGGTATAAAAGGGCTGTATGTTAAATACTCAAAGGACAAGAGTTAGGGAAGAACAAATATCCTGGGGAAATGTGCAGATTTTTGATTTTGCCACAAACCCACTAGGTCACCTTGGCTGAGCCCTGATTCCCCCGGATGTCAAATGAGAGCGTGGGGCCTCATGTCTATGGAGGTCTTTTCTGGCACTTGAATTCTAACCCTCGACAACCGTGACACTTCTGTGTGTGCACAAACAGCAACACCTCAGTCCAGTAACACAGTTCACCTTATGCTCTAAGGATCACTTTTATCTTTACCAAGTTTTCCAGATTCTGATTTGCCTGGTTAAATCACTCTGAAAAATTGTAAAAACCAATACCACACTCACAATTTATCTTCCAATGAGGATAAGATTAATGATGATCATCATAACCACACCTATCACTCACTGAAGCCTTGGTCTACTTCACATGTACTAGTGCATGTCAACCTCACATCACCCTCATGAGGTAGAGGCTCCTATTCACCCCATTTTACAGCAGAAGAAAACTGATGATTGGTAATTTGCCTTCCAGGAAGTGATGGCGTCACTCTTTTTCACATATCCAAATAAATAAACGTCAGTGGTACACAAAAATCCCACTTATTTTTATCTGTGAAGCCTACAACAAATACCATATGACAAGTTCAACAGGGAAGGAAAGCTAACATTAAAAGACAACATGACAAATAAAAAATCAGGATTCTATTCATTTTTGAAGTGGAAGGGAATGAGAGATCCTCTTATCTAAACATCTTTTAATAAATAAATTAATGTGTATACACATAAAATGCTTTGTCCAAAGTCATACAATTAGAGCAAAATGCATTCATTCGTGCAAGATTTTCCAGTACACCACGATCTCTATCATCATAAAGAAGGAATAATTCTGACTTCCTGATTTCATTTGTACAACTTGATTTTGGAGGGAGAACAAAAGGACACACATACACATTTGTTTTTATGATAAGTGATGTAATTAGTATAATATAATACAGGGGTAACGAAAATACAACCTCTGCTAACAGTCTAAAAGAGGGCTAAAACACAATTGCTTAATTCAACACGAGATCTATTAATACATCACACTGAGTACATCTTTGTTTTTATTCATAGAGCACTCCACCACTACTGTAAATAATCCCCAATCGTCTGTTTCAAATTATACACATCAACTGATTTTCCCATCATTTGTGCCATTTTATCTAAGTCCCCAGGAAAGTAGACATTGATGGCTTTCCCTTGGAGGAATTACCTAGAAATAACTTTCATTTTACTATTCAGTGGGAGAAGCATTCTTACAAAAGAAGGTGGTGAAGATTTCCATGCTTCCACACCGCTCTCCTCTCCTCACCCCAGTCTCCATTACCAGCCTCAGGCCCCTTCTCCCTTCCAAATGCACACCCTGTTCCTGGTGAAAGAGTGATGCCGAGTGCCACACAACAGGCCAAAATCCTACCTTGGCCCTGCATTCATATTACTCTCCCACCTGAGATGCTATCCTGCTCTCCAATGGTTTTCTAAATCAGTAGTTCTGAACATTTAAGGGATTAAAATCCCCTTGAAAGTAAAAGTTAACACAATATTTTACATATATTCTAATAGCTTTTGTTTCATCCTCCTTATTAAGTGGGTAGCTGTTATTCAAGTTCACAGACAAGGAAATCAAGGCAAAAGGAGTAACTTACTTAGTCACATACATTTTAAGGAGCAAAACACAGATTTGAAACCCAACAATATGGCTCTAGAACCCTTGCTCTATTCATAATTACTCCTTGCTCTATACTATTTCTCCAAAATTTCCATGAGAATTATAGAGAATCGTCCCAGCAAAACCTTATATAACAAAACGCCATTATTTCAGGAAGTTCGCACACTCGCTGAGGGATACACAGATCCCACGATAAGAACTTCCAAGTAAAAGACAGCACTGGCTGCCTACCTGACAACTACCTCTCTTCTCCATCCTTTTCAACAAAGCACCAACTGGGTTCGGGCATTCTGTCCTCTTCCACGTGGCCATGTGCTCTGCCATGCCAATCACTGTGATCGCTCGGCCTTTGCCAGTGACTAGTTTAAGAATGAGCACTGATACAACCCCAACCAAGAAAACATGAGAGGAAGGGAGGTTCCCTTGCAGGAAAATGAAACACACAACAAGCAATACCTTCTACTGCTGTGGGTTGCTGTGTTTGCATGTGATGCCTAGAAATAGGGCAGCTAGCCACCTTGGGACCACATAAAAGAGAATTAATACAGCATAAAGCCAAGAAGAGGGCAAAAGGGCATGATAAAGGAAGCAAGGTCCATGATGATCACTCCAGAGAGCTGAGTCATTTTTCCTTTACCTGCAGCTAAAAGCACCCAATACACCCCCAGAGCCAGACTAAATCTACTCTTCATATAGCTACCAGCCTTATTCCAAGAAGTTCCAGTCATTCATTCAATTATTTTTAAAACATCAATCATTTTAAAGTATGGGAGGTTTTCTCCAACTCAGCTGTGCCAACTATGTTCTCTCTCCAATCTCAGAACTCCTAAGACATGAACGATTTGGAGTTACACAATTTAGCAGCACTTAGTGGTTTTAATTGTTTTATATATGTTTGTTTCTTCTCATCAGCTAGACTGAAACGTCATAAAAAGGGGGACGATGCTATGGGTAGATCATATATCTAATATGAAACACCAAATTGAAGCCTGAAGGGCTCCCTTTCACATCAACGATATGGAGTATGCTTCCTTCCTTATTTGTAAGGGAAATAAATGCAAGGTGCATTTGCTTTGTTCCTACTCATCAGCTGGGTTCCAGTCAGTTGCTAGTGCTTTTGCACAAGTCCTCCAGACTCTAAATAATGTTTTGCTCATCTCTGTCAAGTGCATGCCATGTAGCCCAGATGAAGGCCCAGCAGTATTGCAGGTACTCAGTAAACAGTAAATGGTGAATGCTCAACAGGGAGAAGAAAAACAATATATGTATAGTTTTACCTCTTTCCATTTTTATCATGTAGACCAGACCCCCAGTACTTAGGGACACCCAGGTACTTCAGTTTATGGGTACGAATCCACTTCTGAACTACAAGTTAAAAACACAAGCTTGTGATTTCACTTTTGTTTTAAATAAATCTCTTTTTTTCATTTTTTAAATTGTTAAGAGTAGAATGTACTTATACATGCAATAAGATTTCATCTTTTTTTCATAAAAAAGGAAGGGAACACGTTATAGTAACAAATAACAAGTACCTTACAATCAAAGCATTTTTATTAACCCACAAAATTGCGTTACCCTGCTCTAAATACTGTCTTTAAAATGAAAAATCTGTGAAAGGCATTTTAAAAAAAGAAAATCCAACCACAGTAACTCTAGTGGCAGTTACTAGCTCTAATGATGTAAATGGTTACTTGCTTCTCCAGAAAGACTTAATTTTTACCCAACCTAAAAGTTGTTTACCTCATTTCTAAAGGTTGTCAATCAGGAAATGAAGCTCGAGGGAGGGTGGCTTGAAGAGGTCCTGCTCTCTTCCCAGTAGTCTGTTCTAATTCATCAATTACAAAATCCCCCTCCACCCAGGTTATGCTGTCCAAACTTTAGAAAAATGTCTCAAAAAGACTGGGATGGATATCCTTAAATCCCATGCATGAATTAGGATTACTTCTCACTTTTTAACAATATTTCCTAAATCATATATCCTTTACTAACTTTATTCTATATATTAATATAGGTGAAATCTTATATCAGAATTCTTTCATACACACCTCATCAAAATGAAATTTATTTACGAAGTAGAAAATAAAACTAACAAAGCATCAGAGTATCAGACCCAGTGCTCTAGTCCTGAGTTCACACAAGCAGTGGTCACTTTGAGACTGTACACGTATGTATGTATTCCTTACTTTGCTCTGGTTTGGCTGCTCGCTGGTAGAACTTCAGTTCAGTAAAGAGAGGTCCATTGTCACTGGGTTCCTTAAAACATAAGAGGTAATTGGTGCTAGCAGTGCTTAACATTATGGAGTCATTTTCAATGAAACTTCAAAAAGCACTAACATCAGTATTTTTTTCCCAATATAATTAATTGTATTACTTAAGTTTGTAACTATATTTAAGGCATACACTCTTTGGAAACGTTTTAGATATTCTCAGAAGAGTCTGTGAGTCACATTTTTCTCAAGGTCCACTTCTGTAAGTGATAAAACGTTCAAAATCACATATACGGCTCAGTCTTCACAGAAGTTTAAGAAAAATCTTTAAACTCGTTTTCATCTTTATTAAGCTTTCTCTTAAGCAATGATTGGCAACCATGTGAACTATCTCAGCAAGGGGCTACCAGAGGTTTCTAAGATCTAATAAAATTCTAACACCTAACTTAACCCATCAGTGTCAAAATCTAACTCTTTTCCCTGTTTCTCAAAGCAGTTGTATCTAGTTGATCATGACCGGCAGAAACCAATCTTGTCACAGAGGGAATCTTCTGGAACTCCAGAGCAAGCAAGCACTATCCACTTTCCTGCATCCCTTTCTTGCTGACACTGATTTCCGCCTTTTTCAAACTAAGAAGCCCTACAACATCCCACATGATAATTCAAAGTCAAGAGGAAACCAGGGATCAGTAATAATTGTTTCCCACCAACTTTACTGAACTACATTCATTTTACATTTTAAGGGGCAGTAACAGGTAAGATGATTTGTGAAGAGGTACACATGCACAAAAAGGTATGGACAAACAAGAAATATCAGCCTGTTGGGAATTTTGCCTTTGTTAAACAGATATGGAAGGGTAAAACAGATCTTACAATTTTGTGGGTTTTTTAAATAGTAAATTGTATCTGAATCAAAAGTGGTTATTAGGTCACATTTGATCATTTCTGTTTTATCTTGTTTATCGAGAACCTGAGAAAAAATCTGAAAAGCAGTAAAAACTTCAAACTAGGAAGCTAACATTTCCCAGCTAAATTTTAGGGTTGCTTTTCCTTTAGGAAATATGGGAAGAAAGTTATTTTGGACAAAACATCCGTGTAGCTGGAGTTCCAGGGTCAGCAGAGCATTAGAAAAAATGACAATGAGGCCCACTAGCTTCAGGAATCTCCAGTTACAGCACCTATAGGAAGACTAGTCAGCCAATCTGCAAACAGTCAGGCAGTACCTAGTTAAGAATGAGCACTCAACAAACAGGCACCATAAGTAACTAACACGTGGATCAGAACTTGAAAATAAATTTGCCTTGTTCCAGGTAAGTATACTTGTCAGCCCAGCATTAGAACAGAATGGTACACAAGGTCTGGCATCTCACTGCCTCTTAAGAAGTAGAAACTAACCAACATACAAAGTATGAGTCCAAATCCCTAATTTTTAGACTCAGTACCCCAAATTTTGCCACAACCTGTGGCTCCTTTTTGGCATCAACGCTCTCTAGACAGACACCTGTGTGTGGTCAGAGCCCACCGCTAGGCCTTCAGCAGAAGTAGCAGTCTCAGTGTAAGAAATGAAGAAGTAGAAATTCAAGAGATGAAATTTTGGTGAAGTTACTCTCCAAAGGCTAACTTTTAGAATAGCTTATTAATATAATTCAGGTTTGAAAGGGGTTTTTCCTAAGACAAATCCTGGCTTATTACCATCAGTATAAAATTCTGATTCATTCCCTTTCAACCTATGTCATATCAACTTTAATTTTCAAGCTTCCCTTTGGGCAATAATTTATTAAACTTATAATAATAAAAATCAACCTATATAAATCAGACTATTATAATGAAAGCCCCACTACAATGAAGGCTCTTTGAGCTCATTTCATACTTTTTCTAATCCAATAAGGTTCCATTATAACAAAATAAAGGAGCTACTTCCTTGGCATTGCACTCTGGCCAAAGCTCGCTATTTCTGTGGAAGAAAATACCTTAACTCATAACTAAAATTTTATTAACATATTTCAAATCTAAAATACTTTGCCAACTCTATAATAGCCAAGATTTAGAAAAGAAATTGGGACTGACATTTTAACTAGAATATCACTAAACGTTTCTTTAAGATTTCTAAGTGTCAAAATGAAGATGACAACAGAAAAAAAATTAAAATGTGATATATTTCAATGGCACCCTCTAAAAGCAACTGGCTGCCATTTAAATATGAAGCTGTATAAAGTTTCCCCTTCCTACCAAAAAATTATGATATATGAATTGAAAATTCAGGTCACTTCTCATAAAGTCAGTGAGGAAAATGAAACATCAGTCTGCAAACTTCTTGCCAGGGAACTTTGAAATACAGGCTTTATGATCGTTCATACTGTAAAGTGACCACGATATAAAGAACTGTTAGGATACAAGACCCAAAAGTCCACCCCCCCTCCCCGCTAAGTTCTGCTCTGAGCTCACTGATGGGACTGCAGTCGGTCAGCCTGGGGGGAGGTCACTGAAAACTAACTATCAACTGTGTTAACAAGATAACACAAAAGAGTATTTTTTTTCTCCTTGCATAATCCAACTTAGTACCAATTTCCCATTTCCCGCTGCACATCATCTTTCCTGAGGTAAAACACGGTATCTTGCAGTTAACTAGAGGCAGAGAATACAAGTTTACCATGTCTGGTGACCCCAGCATCACGACTCCAAGGCTGCTCCCCTAAGTCAGTAAGGATAAGGCCCTAATCTAAACCATGGTCATTTGGTAGGAGGGAGAATATATTTAGTATGCACCGAAACCTCTATCTTAAATCTGTCCTAACTTCATTTCAAGACCAAATGTAACCATCCAAAGTTCTTTCATAGAGCAGGTAGGTATGCATATGAGCAGCAACCAAATTTTCTGACAAATCTTGCATGCTGAGGCGGAAGCCCTACCACAAGCAGGATACCTGCTGCCTCTACTGAATGAAACGATCCACAAAGGTAAACATGAGCGTGCGTGAGTCCACTGAAAATAATTAAAGTGCTTTGTGCACCACACTCTACCAGTGGTTCTCAACCTTGAGGCACAAAAGAATCCCCTGGGGAGCTTTACTAAAAATACCAATAGCCAGGCTCTGCACTCAGAGATTCTGATTATACTGCACAACCTGATAGAGAATCACTTTTTGATTTGATATAGCATTGCACTGTTAAGTCTAATTTCATAATAAAACTTGCCTTCAAAAATTTTTTTTTAAGGATTTACCTATCTGAGAGAAAGAGAGCACACACAGAGGGAGAGACAGAAGTAGACTCCCCGCTGAGCAGGGAGCCAGATGTGGGACTCGATCCCAGGACCCTGGAATCATGAACTGAACCAAAGGCAGACATTTAACTGACTGAGCCACTCAGGTGCCCCAGCCTTTGATTATTTCTTAAATAACATCTGCTGGAGTGATTTTTCTCCAAAAATAAAGTATGTGCTTATTTTAGATTTTGGAAATATTTTGGTATATTTTCTTCACATACGTGGTTATTTCATAAAATTACTTTGATACCACACGTAGTTTTGTATCTTGCTTTTTATTTTTTTGTAATTTTTTTAAAATTTATTTATTCCTGAGAGACTAGAGATAGAGGCAGAGACATAGGCAGAGGGAAAAGCAGGCTCCCTGTGGAGAGAGCCTAATGTGGAACTCGATCCCAGGACCCCAGGATCAGGCCCTGAGCCACAGGCAAGACACTCAACCACTGAGCCACCCCAGCACACCCATATCTTGCTTTTTTAAGTAATTACTTATGAAATTTCCCCAAAGAGTAGTTCCTGTACCTTGAAAATATGATTAATAGCCCCTAATGTTTTAAATGGCAAATGTTCATAAAGTTGATTTTCATACTGGAAGATCTGATACTCATTTTACAGGTTTGTGTTTGATGAACCATCTCCATTTTTAGTATTACAAAGCTCTGAGAGTAAGACTTACAGAATAGTAGTTTTAGTAGACAGAGCTACAGCATGTCACAAGTGAAGGCAAATCATGCTACTTGAAAAGACACAGAGCAAAGATGAAAGTGAGTGGTCTCAAGAAATCAAAAGGTGAGAAATTATGGCTACAACATTTTCAGAAGAATAAAACTAAAAACTGCATAAAGAAAACAGGTTTACAAGAAAGTCCTTATCACTAAAACTTGAAATCCAGCTAGGGAAAGAAACACAAAATTAAAAGCAACTGTAGCCTAGGAAGGATATTCGCATCTGAAATGGTTAAATAAATGTAAACAGAATGAATGCTGCTGGAGTTTCAGGTTCCGAGAGGAGACGACGACGAGGAGGAGGATCTGGGGAAGGAAGAGCAACAGCAGCTACTCGGCATTCCCTGAGAGGGTTGAAAGGGAAAGTCAGTAATTCTGATTTGTTCATGGCGTGCTTCCAGGATCACAGACCAACTATCACATCGAAAATGTTAGTAAGATATTAAATGCAAAAGAGAAATCGACTGAATATTTATCACTGTCCTAATTACAAAGAGAAGGAGTAATACAGGCCAATAGAAATAGAACTAAATTAGGAGACAGGAGAGACGCAGAGCACTAAACTAGGTTTGGTAACAACGGGCTTTAATAGAAATAAAGAGTAATTTACTTCCTTATGTTAAGCAGTTAGGAAATGCCTGTTCCTACCCATTTTTTTATAATTCTGTTAAGTAAAACAGGTAGTACAAATGAAGTTACAGTGACTAACAACTGAAGTACTTAGAATGACTCATAATAAAGAAGAGCATCTTAATTCTAAACTAAACCGCAGCTGGAAGAATCTCAGCCATAGAGAAGACAGACATGGTGACCTAGCAGCTCCGCCTGGCACTGTCCGTCCAACACGTGGGGAGGGAGGTATAGGTCAGCCAGCTGCAAGGGGGTCCCAGCGAACCACATTTTTGAACCTCAAGATTATGAGAAGTCATAAGTGGACTTGCTCTCCTCTCACAATAGAAACTTTTTAAAGACCTGAAGACTAGTCTTAGCCGTAGATTTTAATCTGTTGTATCAAAGACGAACAACTCAATTTAATATTAAGAACTTTCCTTCCTCTGATAGAGCAGCAAATGGAGTATTTCAAGAGGAATGTTAGTCCACAAAGAGAGAAAAATCCAAAATGAAAAGGGCTTAAAGAAAAGCAAAATGGCAGGACACGCCCATCAAGGCGTCAACTTTACTTCCACTTACAGGCCTGATGGAGTAACTTGGGCCCCAGTTAGCCCCCCATGCTGTAAACAAATATAAAAACTGAACAAAACAGATGGAATTACTCCTTTCAGACATTAGATAGAACAGGAAGCACAGACTGTGACCTCTAAAAAATGGGAAACAAACCAGGAAGCCTGGTGGCTCAATGGATTAAGCGTCTGACTTTTGGTTTCAGCTCAGGTCCTGATCTCAGGTTCCTGGGATCGAGCCCCACATCAGGGTCTAAGCTAAGCAGAGAGCCTGTTTGAGTTTCTCTCCCTCTCCTTCTGCCCCTACCTCCTGCTTGCACTAAGTAAATACACAAATAAAATTTAAAAGAGGGGGAGGAGGGGGACAAACACAATGTCCCCCAGGCCAGCCCTGGCTTTCCTTACAGAGGCACCTGGAGTAAAAAGGAGATGAATCAGGGTTCTACGGGATAAGGAGACCACACACCAATAACCCTGATGCCAAAACCAAACAATGAGATTAGACATTTTTAAAATTTAGAGATATTAGAAAAAAGATTAAAGACTGCTATCCCTCATGAACAAATATGGAAAAATCCTTAACAAAATAATGGCAAATCAATTCCAGCATTATGTAAAAAGCATAATACATCATAACTAAGTGTAGGGTATGTTAAGAATAAAAGTTTTACGCTCAAATTATCAATCAATATCACCGCCACATTAACAGAATAAAGGAGAAAATCCTATGATCCATCTCAAAAGATGCAGAAAAAGCATTCAGAAAACAAACAGGCAAACTACAAGCTGGGAGAAAATTTTTACAATTCACACATGTGGAATGGGACTTGCATTCAGAACAATGCTCTTACTACTCAATTATAAAAAGCAAAACCACTTAGTTATTTCAAACAAACAAAAACTGAGGAGGCACTTCACATTCATATATGAATGGCCAATAAGCACAATTACTTGGAAAAACTAATCAAAATCAGGCATCAGGTAAAACTATGAGACACTGCTACACACCCAACACCACAGCTGCAAAACCAATCTGACAACTGCACATATTAAAGAGGATGTGGAGCAACCAGAACTCTCACACATCACCAGTGGATGTGCAAAATGGCATAACCACTTTGGAAATCTGTCTGGTACTTTCTTATAAATTTGAATATACACCCTCCCTATAAACCAGCAATTTTCCTTCCAGGTATTTATCCAAGAAAAATAAAAACCTTGTACAAAAATTTTTGTAGACACTTTATTCATAATAGCCAAAAACTGTCTATCAATAGGACATGGAAAAAAACTGTATAATATCTGAGCAGTAAGATTGAACGAGTAATCAATATACCAACAATATGAATGAGCCCATTAAACATTTTGCTAAACGTTAAGTCAGAAAGAAAACAGTATATACTATATACCATTTATATGATATTCTAGACAAGAATAATTAGTCTACAGCACAAAAGAGAATTAAAAAAAAGAAAACCTCAGATAAGTGATTACCTCAAAGGGTACAGGAAGCAGGGGTCTGACCAGAAAAGGATACAAGAAATCTTTCTGCAGTGACAGAAATGTTACATATTTTGATACAGGTGGGAGCTGTACAGGTATATGCACCTGTCAGAAGTATTCAAATGATTTAATACCTATAAATTTCCTCGTAAAAACTATGCCTGAATAAAAAAGTGTTACAAACAATCACTAAAACAATTCAGGTACAAAAGAGTTAATTCACAAGGGATCAAATACATTCCTCATTGAAAAGAAAATAAAGTAAAGCAAACAAAAAAACAAAACTTCAGGACAATTCTGACTTCGGTAGTCTTTAGGAAAAAAGGAGAGTTGGAGAACATATGTCAGTACTTTGCCCAAATAACAGACCCTGTTATCTCTTCTATCATTTAACAAAAGCGTGTTCTTCATAAGGAGTAAAGAACTTCAAGGGAGGAGTTACAAATATAACTTTGTAAGCAGAAAGATGTGTAATATATTCTAAACAAAAAATAGTAGTTAAAATGTCTTTTAGTTCACCCAAGGTATAAGCTGACCTGACTATTCAAAGTATGCTTATATCAGATGGGATGCTGTCAAATTTTACTTGTTACAAACTAATTTCAGCATTAGCAAAAGAAAGTTCAAAGTGGTGATTAAATAAGTAATTTATTAAAATGGATGGAGAAGAAAACTGGAAATAAAACGAAAAAATTGACAAAGCAGTTCAGAAGCAAATGCAAGAAAAAATAAAATTTCACTAAAGTATATAGTCTTACTATTGTAAATATAGCTAAAATAAAAGAATGAGATGAATTTTTTTATTCTACATCTGTACACCTCCATGATTCATTTTTCCCCTAAAAACCAAGATCACTCTAACTCAAAAGGGAAGAAATGGACTTTTTGAACTTAAATTATTTAAAATTATAAAGATATTTTTTGTCTTCCTCCATATTTATTAATAAACATTGTTAAAAATGTAGTATCTTATAGTTTAATTCTAGTTATCAAAAAGGATGTCATACAAAATAAACCATACACCCGTTCAACAAAAAAAGAAAATCAGCTAAAATATTTTCTTACCACTTTTACAACGCAAGGTGCATCGCTGCCCACCGACTTTGAAGAATTCATATCAGCTGTTTGAAAAAGTGACATATGTAATATCAGAAAAAGAAGTAGCATTATTTTAATTAACCTGTTACAAACCTGTTAATATTTAGATCTGTATATCTATAACTCCTTGATAGGATAAATTTCAGTTCCCAAATATGTGTCTCAGGATATCATTATAGTATATTTCACCAATTTGAAGGCTCTTTTTTTTTTTTTTTTTAAGATTTAACAGATCTGAAACTGGAATGCATGTTATAATTATTGGTATCTTTAATACAATCATCAATTAAGTATGGAAAACTCTGAGTTAAAGATTTCTTTAATTCAAAAGTACTCATAGCCTTTGATATGCTAATGAAGGTTGTGAATTCCCAAGAGGATAATAACTGATGACATTTCTTAAATTTCACAAACCAGGAGCAAAAAAAAAAAAAAAAGAAAAAAAGAAAAAGAAAAAAAAGAGGGTAAGAAAAGAGGGAGCTAAAGTTCCAAAATGCACTAGTTTTGGGGGGAAAAAACTCATCTGCATCAACAATTCAGGATGTTTGGCACTAGAACTTTGAACTGCCATCCATAATAATCATAATGTGGCTGTCATTTTATTTCATGCAAATAAAGCACAGGTGCTAGATTATGGAGTCAGGAATATAAGGCTGCCCACATTCATGAAAAAAATATTTTACCAAGTACCTACTAAATACCATTTCTAGGAAACTGATTTAGTAATGAACAGGAAGAAATAACTGCTACTCTTATGAAGCTAACATTTCAGTGGTAGGACACAGACAGCAATTAAAACATAAAGCATGCTCAATGCTTTGAGAGCTAGAACGGGAAAACGAGGCAGGAAAGAAGGTACACACTGTTGAAAGGTCCTCAGAGAAGCCTCTCTGTCACTGGAACTGTGGTCTGAAGGCAGAGAGGGAATCAGCCATGTAAGAACCTGGGGAAGAACATTCCATCCAAACCAGCACAAAGGCCCTGACATGGAAGCCTCTGACAAGTCTAAGAAAGCAAGGAGGCAAAAGTAGCTGAAGAAAACTAAGTGAGGTGGAAAGTAATAAGGGACAGATCAGAAGCAGCAGCAGGGGACAAAGAGCAGCATGTGACGTAAGGCTGACATAAAGCTGTCACTGTGGTTGAGCTGGAGAGCCACTGGAAGGTTCTGAGAAGAGGACTGGCAAGATTAGACTTTGATTTTTCAGAATTCTTCAGGCTGCCTGGTGGAGAATGGGGTACAGAGGGCAGAGGGCAAAAGCAGAAGCAGAGAGGTCAGCCTGGCCACAACGACACTCGAGGTGAACCAGAACGACAGCAGACAAGGTGGTGCTAAGTGGTTAGACTGTGGATGTGTTTTCAAAAAGGAGTCAACAGGATTCGTTGAAAAACTGGATATGGAAGGGAAAGGAGGAAAAGGAGGCAAGGAGGCCTCCAAGTTTTCAGCCTGAGCAACTGCAAAGTTGCTACTTACTAAGATGGAGGAAGCTGCAGGAAGAGCTGGTGCTTTGGAGAGCTTTCTGTCTGAGATGCTCAGTAAACATCCAACAGGCACTTGATATACAAGTCCTGAGTTCACAAGAATGGTCCAGGTTGAAGAAAAAAATTTGAGAGTCACTGACATGGAAACACTACTCAGTTAAAGCCATGACCCTGGAAGAGCCGCTAGGGCACGAACATAGATAAGAAAAGAAGAAACCCTAGGCCTGAGCCCTAAGGCATTCTCACATTAGTAGATGAATTGATGAAGGAGGACCAGCGGAGGAAAATAGCAAGATTTTGAAGAAACTGCAGCTACAGTACTTGAGAGTGAAGAAGGAATGCTAGAGTCACAACAGTGACTACCATGGGCATATGGTAGCTTTAAATAAGCATTCAGTGTAACAAAATATTAAAATAAGGATAGTATTCCAATAATGCTGCACAGTTCAAATGAAGAAAGGGGAAAAGGAGGCTCAGTAATTCCTTCAAACATTATATGCCACAAAATATGCCAGGCACTGGGGACACAGTGAGAAGAGCTGTCCCATTGCCAAGAGAGAGAAAAGTAACTTCAATACAGTGTGGACAGTATTATGAAAGGGTTAATGCAAAGGGCCTATAAACAGAGTACCTGCCCAACCCTCAGCTTTGGAAAAATGAAGCAAGAGAAGCATCACATACCGAGATCAAGAGGCAAAGGGCTGCAGGACAAAGCACAGATCCTGAGGAGATAAGAGGGATGAAGAAGCTACGTAGGAATGAGAACAGAGGGAGGGTCTCTATGCCATTCTCCTACATCTGGCACTTTCTCCCCGGAGCTGCGGGGAGCCATTACAGGAATTTGACTAGGCTAGATCACTCAAGCCACAGCCATGAATGATGAGATGCAAGGGGGCCAGGAAGGTAGCAAAGAAGAGCCACCGCCACAGTGAGAATCCAAACAAGACGTGAAAATGACCAGCACTAAGGCAAGGTCGGCAAAGATGGAGAGAGTTGTCACACAGGTAAAGCCACAGGACTAGGTGAAGTACTTGGGACACTGGTGAAGGAACACTTAAGAATGCCTTCCAGTATATTACTCAGCCATTAGAAACGACAAATACCCACCATTTGCTTCAACGTGGATGGAACTGGAGGGTATTATGCTGAGTGAAGTAAGTCAATCGGAGAAGGACAAACAGTGTATGTTCTCATTCATTTGGGGAATATGAATAATAGTGAAAGGGAATATAAGGGAAGGGAGAAGAAATGTGTGGGAGATATCAGAAAGGGACACAGAACATAAAGACTCATAACTCTGGGAAACGAACTAGGGGTGGTGGAAGGGGAGGAGGGCGGGGGGTGGGGGTGAGTGGGTGACGGGCACTGAGGGGGACACTTGACGGGATGAGCACTGGGTGTTATTCTGTATGTTGGTAAATTGAACAGCAATAAAAAAATAATTTATTAAAAAAAAAAAAAAAGAATGCCTTCCAGTGTCTGGCCTGAGATATGCCTCTCCTGGTCACAAGAGAGCCGGTGGGTGCCCTGCAGGCCCCCTGGCCACAGGATGCACGCAGCAGATCAAGCCCCTGGCTACAGATAAAAGATGGGGAAGTCGACAGTCAAAACACAGCAAGAGCAGCCATGAAATCAATAAAAGCACTCAGAGCGGAACCCACAGAATGAAAAGTGAGCCGAGGAAGGAAAGCTGGAGAACCCAGAAGTCCCTGCGAGGATGACTATGCATCTCCACAGGCAGCAGGACAGCAAGAGGGGACGTACTCCCGTGAAAGACATGGGAGCAATCTTCCCAAGAAGAAAAGATAAATGGTAGCAAACACTGCAGGAAATATCCAAAATAATTCAAAAGTAATCTTTTTAATTCATGAGCAAAAACTGCTGATCTCGACTATAGCTGCTTTTGTATGTCAGTGGGCACCAAGAGACAAACTGGAGGCAGCAATACTAAAGCAAATCCAGATTGATCAATCCAGCTCTATAAAAGCAAAGCTTTATTAAAGGAATCTGTCAAATCATTGGATATTAACAGTACTCACTAGTAGATGGCACTTTTTAATGATAAATACAAACACCAATAAAAGAACACAAATGCAGTGGCTGTGGCAAACGTTCCAAAGGTTACAAATGTAAAGTAACTAATACAAAATGAAGAACCTACTTGCTTCAGGTTCCCACTCCTAACATGGAATGTCCTAAGTGCACACATTCTGCAGAACAGCTTATAGAATCTACCATCTCTAACCCCTAAGGTCAAACCTATATAACCTGGCCACTAACCTTTCTTGATTTATACATATTTTCCCCTCAACAGATAGCCTGGTCTACTACAGCGGGCTTGGCCCTCAACAAAACTAAAGAATCAACACCCGTCTCCCAAAGACAGGTGCCACTGACCTAGAGAAATCCTATTTACAGCATACAGTAGAGCACTGGGCTCCAGGCTGTCTCAGGAACACAGCCCTAGAGGCTACAGCCAACCCTACAGCCTGCTGGCCCCGGAGGAGTTGGAGTCGGACCCTCCTAAGAAGATCCTCATCTCGTGGGCAGCTCTCATACATCAGCACACATCCAAATCACCTGGGGTACTTGTTTAGTCTCACTGCTGGGCCCTCTCTCTACATATGGCATCTGATTCCTAGGCCTGGTTGTAGAGCTGAGACTCTGAGTGCTAAGAAGTTTCCACTACTAACACTAACCTAGTATCTAATAATAGTATCCTGAGTAACACATTGCTTGAAAGAAAAAAGGGTTCCATTACTAAAAATAAAATTTTATAAACCTCAGAGCAGAAATTAAATAATTAGGTAAATAACTAAATCAAGATTAGAGGTGGAGTAGGATATATCATGGAAAAGTCAGAAAGAAATTGCAAAAGCAAACATGAAGTATATCACTATTAATACTCCAAGTAAAGCAGTCAGCTTTAGAAGCAATCAGGTAAAATATTTTTTAAATCAATGATTTAGTTAACCTACAGAATCTCAGGGTTCCACATGGGTCCTCCAAAATTTCAAGGTAAGTATGCTAATTAATAGCACATTTAATCAGGCCTAGTATGCAATTTTCAGGTCATTCTTCCAATTCCACTACAACGATTAGTAGGGTTATAGAGAAAGAAAAAAAAAATTCACACCTGTTATCTGAAAATCTCCAAATTAAACCAAAACAGAGGGAATAAATCCCAATTGAGTGGAGGTGGGGAAAGGAAGATGGCCATGGCTTTCTCCGGGTCTCAGAAGAAACTGAGATTATACAGAATATCTTAAAAATCTAAAGCACAATATTACAGATCACCCTCTTTTTCTACTGCGAGTAAATCTACTATCTTCTTCTCCACTCCTGTAACAGAGATGCGTTTTCGTCTAATCATACAGTATTAAGTTGAATGTCGATAATTAAGAACATCCTGTAAAAGCTCCTGAGAAATTATTTGATAAGAAAACATGTAAATCTTTGGACTGGTACACTTACCAAGATATATACAGCCGAAGCCGCCCTGGCCAATGGGCGATCCTAGTTTCCACTCCTTCTTTGTCATGTCTGTGATTATCTCCCCAGCTGCAAAGTGTTCTGCAAGTCGTCTCTTTGCAGGGCCCTGTCTTCCAGCTTGAGCTGCTTTTACACGAGGCATTTTCACTGTAACATGAAAGAGAGCGACACTCAGAATTATAATCCTAGAAGTGCTGAAAACATTTTCCACTGAGGGATGCTCAGCGCTACAAAGGTGCTTTCCAAATGAGGAAGAGCATTTATGACACGATAGGAGATGCTTTCTTAACACACAATCCATCGTCACGTCTCTGCGAAGATTACATTATCATCCCCATCTTACAGATGAGGAAATGAAGGCTCTACACCTAAAAGCAGCAGAGCAACAGACATCACTCTGAACACTAACCTGGCTCCAAAGCCTTGATGCTGTGGCCCACAATTACCCAGGGAAGGAGCGGACCTTTCCAAACAGTGATAAGGAAACGGCGGCTGTTTGGTCCTTCGGCTTCCCAGAAAAGGCAAAGCTGGCAACACACAGCGCTCCATGCGTCCCTTCTCACACCTATGCTTCTGGAAGTGAATCTGGATTCACCTTTCTCACTCAACAGCCGAGTTTAACATAACATTCAGAGAAGCTGCGTGTTACTGTGAAAACAGCCCTGGGCTAGAATCAAAAGCCCCAGATTCTAGTACCACTGACACCAATTAGTCACTTGTCTCTGGGCTGTAAGTGCCCTGAGATCTAGCTTGCCTCACAGAGAGAGAACCCTGGGCAGGGGCGGGGCAGGAGGGCCTCAAACTCTCAGTTCCACAACTACTAATTGGAAAAGATTTAAAACAAATACTTTCTCAGAGGCCACAGTCTGCAACACTTTGAAATGGCTGTTCAGGTGAAGGACAGGGTTGTTAAGACAGAACAATCACATTACATAAGGTGGTTTGGTTTGGAGCCTAGATATTCTAAGTACATACACCGGAAATTAGATGCGGAAATATCCATCCACAATCACGCCACGTACATAAACTCTACATATGCAAATGCTCTTTATTAACTTATTGGAGATTTTTTAATTTAATTTTTCCTTTAGAATACCAATCCCTCTTCACTGTCCAAATCTTCTCTAAGAAAACATCTCCAAAATAAATTAATGTGACTATTATTTCTTCCTAACAATTCCCTTAATTGTATTTTTAATCATTGTAAAATCTTCCTGAATGAAATTTCAGTGTAAACTGTAATAGCCTAGACTCAATACCCCAATCAAGGTGACTTTTACAGCTATGGTTGTAGACGGAGTACAAGAAATAGCCAAGACAAAAAAAGAAAAAAAGAGAAAGAACCTAGACACAGCACTTCCAAATGCTAAAATGGATGCCTTCTAAATTTACCCCACTGTAACAAATCATCAGAGTAATCTCCTATTTGATGATTTCCTTATAGTAGTCAAGACAGTTTAAAATGAGTAAAAAAAAAAAAAAAAAGACTTTTCCTCTTTCAGTAACTCAAGATAGTAACCAGACTATCTTTTGTGTTTTACTATATAATTCCTTTCCAAAAGTGGCCATATTTCAAATGAAATATGCTAGCTCAGCTTCTACTCAATATAAATTGTGGTCAACAAAAAGTGTTTTTTCTCCAAATTAAGTGATGAGCTTTTACTCTGAGTGTTAGTCCTATACCCTACTGGTAACAATTAATGCAGTCTGGAATGACTTTTTTCCTTCCTAAAAGCAGCCCCATAGAATCAGCCATCACTGAGAGTCTCTCAATTCCCTGTACAAATCAGGGGCAGCACACCTATTTAATCTCCCTAAATTCCCCCATAAAACCAGAAAGGACAACTAGAGAACAAACTCAAACCCAAAGGACAGTATCTACAACAAAATGAGGCAACAGTATTCCCTACGTCCACGAACCCCAAAATGGGAGTGGGTGAAGATGCCACGGGCAACAAGATGACCTACATGCCACCAGCAGCTGTGAGGGAAGGAGCAGAAGCCAGGGTAGTGTTTCTGATGAATCTGAGGACCCCCAAGTTACCCCAGGTTGCCTCTAGCGGCACAGAGACAACGTGGAAGCTCAGGAGCTGAAGCTGAGGAGGGCCCTGCACACTCCCACAGCGGGCGCATGCAGGGCTCTGCTGGAGGGGCTGGCACAGGCTGGCCTCCACAGCTCACAAGACCAACCAGCCAAAACTCACTCTCAGGTCAAAGCCTCCCCAGGTGGATCAGAAACTGCTGGGAATGGAATCCAAACTGAGCATCACAAAGATAATACAAAGAAAGGAAAAAGAAGGTTCAAACAAACACAATAGCAGATTTGTAAGTTAGCCTCCATGTTTTGGAACGCTATACCAAAACAAAACAGTACAGAACAGAAAAGGAGGCTCTAGAAAATGACACAAAGTCAACCTGAACTATACCATCCAGAACTAATTGCACATAAAAGAAAAATAATTGCTTATAAAATTCAGCAAAACAAAAAAGGATCCAAACCTAGTCCCGTGCAAATTGAAATTTTTTTAAAGTCCCTGCAGAAAAATACATAAAACATGCCTGCCAAAAAGTTGAGAGCTATGAAGCAATATTTCAAAACAAGCTTAAAAATTTTTATATGGAAAGACTAACAGATCAGAATTAGAAAAACTCAGAAACCAAGCGATAGAAGGGAATAACTAAAAAGTCACAATCATTTCAGAGATGAAAACTAAGCTAGAAGGAACATCAGACTGAAGGCAGTTTAAACACTGTGACTTAACAGAAATAGAAAATGAAAAGGAAAAAAAATTAAAAATCAAAGAGGGTGAAAAAGATAAACATTTCTAGAAAAAAGTCATAGATTTAGAACACAAAAAGAAAAGCCAGTGAACATATAACAAAGAAAATCAAAGCAAGGGAACAGAATCCTAAAAATGCTTTAATCTAAGAAGACTTTCCTGAACTTTAAAAAAAAAAAAAAAAAAGTGAAACCTCAAAACGAAAGGTCACACCTCCCCCGGTACATGGAGAAATCAGCCCAGGACAACTCTGCGCTCAAACACACCTAGCAAAATTACGGAACTCCACGGAAAAGAAAGTATTCTTTGAGCATCCAGGCCAAAAACAGATCTCTTTTAAGGAGAATAAATCAGACTGTCATCACTCTGACAGCAATACCTATGCCAGAAAAAAAAGGGAAAGTAACATAGTTAAGACAAAGAAACATGAACCACAGATTTTACATTCTGTTAAATTTCAAGTATAAAAACCAGAAGCGTTCTCAACTTGGAAAAAGGGAGCAAGAATTCACCAGAGAACAAGCCTCAGATATCCAAAATGCCCAAAGAAACATCGCTGGAAGACCTGCGAGTGAGCAGTAAGCAGACACTGATTTGTAGAAGCAAGACTCAACAAAGACTACAAGGACAGGATATATAACAGGCATATGTTCTGACGAAGTAGATACGGTACAACTGTTAAAAAAAAAAGGGGGGGGGGAGGAATACATGCCAAAAAACCAACTCTCGGGTAATCATACTGTAAATGATACTTGGTTTTATAAACTAAGGTTACTGTATATATAGCTGTGGAATAATGCAAATGAGCAATAATGTGATATTTTAATTTCCATGCCCCTGTATCCTTAAAAGTCAAGATTCATATATGAAAGAAAGGGGATACAGATGAAAGGCAGAAGAAGTAAGGCTAAAAATGCTTTATACAAAGATACTTTTGGGCAGCCCAGGTGGCTCAGGGGTTTAGCGCCGCCTTCAACCCAGGGATGGAGTCAGGCATCAGGCTCCCTGCAGGGAACCTGTGCAGGGAGCCTGCTTCTCCCTCTGCCCGTGTCTCTACTCTCTCTGTGTCTGTCATGAATAAATAAATAAATAAAATATTTTTAAAAAGAAAATACTTTTAATTCAGAAGTTATTTTATCTTCATAAAAAGCATGTGTGCACGTGAACACCCACAGGCACACCCACACACCTTTGCATTTCCTAGCCCTAGCCACAAAAAAGCTTAGAAATAACCAACCCAGTAGTAATGAGTATTTCTAGTACACAAATTGTATGCTTGAAATACTGTTTCCTGTAAAAGAAATCAGATTTCTTGAAGAGATGACTGATTCCAGGTGTGGAGCTAGAAATGTACAAGATAGACTTGGAACATCTTGTCATTTCTAGGTGTCAAGGAAGCTATCAAAAACTATGAGAGTTATGTCAGATACGTCTAAGGAGCCAACTTAAACGTTCCCACTGACCAAAGATAAGCCAATTTGACTCAATAAAGATAATAACCGCTAGGGTTAAAACACATAAAATGGGTAAATCCAAGAGTTTATAATAGTAAGAAAACCTAACTGGTCACCTCTAGAGAATAACAGGAAACCACTCAATTTTGAAAGCTGCTGAAAAAAGAAAGAAAGAAAGAAAGAAAGAAGAAGAAAGAAAGAAAGAAAGAAAGAAAGAAAGAAAGAAAAGAAAAGAAAAGAATCAAGCATTTATCCTCTCTTACATGAATTGTACCACTGGGTAACCAAATACTGGATGAAGAGAAATTTCTCCTTATGGGAAAATTTCAGCTAATAAATGAATAAGAATGGTTTTAGGTTAACACCACTTCCACTTTCTAATGAATTAATGGATCCAGACACTGAGCACTGATAGCTACTAACATCAAAATGTGAGAGGTGTCCAGACATATTATACGCCTCCTGATAAAAGAATACGCCACTACCCATGAAGTAATCTTGCCAAAAAATAAAAATAAAAAATTAATAGAATCTGAATCTGATCAAGCCTATCAATTCACAGGAGATGAATAGAACAGAACATGATAAACTATAGTACAGGAATGCAATCAGCCAAGTCCCAAGGGTGGGAAACCCTACAGTACACATGATCCCATTCCTTCAACAGATAAAGGAAAAAAACAAGAGATGGGGGAGAAGAGAGACAGATGAAAAACAACGTATCTAAAACAAAACAAAACAAAATACTTCAGGCAAATCCATACTGAAGTATTTAAGGATGCGCATTGTAGTGATAACCGATAAAGAAAAGGAAGCGATTGCCATAAAAGATACAAGTTACTTTCAGAAGTGTAAGAAAGTTATGATGAGGACGGGCAGGTGGTTCTCTTTCCTGGTGTGCGTGGTGGTTCTA